GTCAACAGCATGAAGACGGTCGTGGAGAGCCGACCATTAAGTGTCACATTATCGTAATACCGATTTAAAATGAAACGGAAGGGATCGATCTTTGGGACTTATCTATAGGGTGTTTTACTGCAAAATGGGCCAGATAAGCTCGTCAGTAACAGACTGTTTATTATCATCAAACAGTGTTAGGTATTTATTTTGCAGTATAGCACAAATGACTCTTAGAAACAGGCATTTTCACGCATCCAAAATTACTTAACTTTTGAAAACTTCATTATTCTGTACAGTGTAATTCTCTGTGAAAACCCAGCGCAACTTCTAATAGCAGTGTTCTACTTACGCTTACAATAATCGCCTGATTCAAAGTAAGAAATAACAACAAGTTCTAAATAATACAAAATAGCACAAACAGTTCCAGAAGACAGTTATAAAGCTACAGATCTAGGCTATGCATAAAAGCTTCAGCTACAAAACTGACATTATGGAAAACTTTCGGCCCTTTTTCAGACAGTCTTAAAGCAAACAGGAAGTCAAAGCAACAAATAATGGTGCCGAAATTGCCACTAGCCCTAAACGATCGTTTTATGCAAGTAAACTACAGATAGAACTGGATCGAAACGAATAAGTCAAAGAGTCGATCAAGGATACTAACTGGAACTTCTGATAGAGAAAACGAAACCGGTGTCACGAGAAAAGAACAGCTATAACGGTTATCTAACATAAAGAAATAGAAGTCATTGTGCATGTCTATCGAACAGCCAATCGTCCAAGACCATAACTATGGACCAGACTTGCTAGGAGGCGTCCTGTGACGTGGAAATATCGTAACGTACAGAGGAAACGTAGACATTCTAGAAAAGAAGAAAGAGTCAGTTTTGAGAAACCGCCCCTTCACCTGCAAACAATCGTATATACAAGGACGACCAAATCGACTATCGAATTTCGTCGGTACTCATCCGACAAATCATAATATTGGATGGGGTATTAATCCTCTTTGCGCTATTTTTTTCACCTATACACAGTTACAATCTTTTGTGAGTATAAAATAATTTCCACCGCCACCGCACTAATGTGCTACAATGGCACGAAGAGCAGTGTATCTTCAAGACTGACTGAAGTACACTTGACTAGACATTCGCACTACACCAGATTACTGAGATATCTGGCGAGTTCGCCCATGCGGTGTATAAGCCCAGTTGCTACGGACCATCAGATCACTATACACTGATAACAGGTGCTGTGTAAGAGTAAATGGCGCTTAGACGAGATTTTTTAACGTTGGTACTGATCTCTGCAAAGGCTGCGTTCTATTCCTTCTCCTCTTTGTATTATACATGCAAAGAATAGTCACACGCAGCCATAGCGACCAGTGCATCAGCGTAGGATGTCGAGTGAGAAGCTTCCTGTTTCTTTGGCGTCTTCTGAAACTGATCTGCAGTGCTTTCTGCATAGGTTTACAGCTGTGTGAGACTTGGCCGGCATATGTGAACGTATCTAAAACGAAAAGCCTAAAACTTTCTCGTTCTCTTGTCTATTGCTCTTTCAGAAAAACGGAGAAGCAGTGGAGCAGGTGGAAAAGTTCAGGTACCTCAGGGTCAGGTTTACTGGTGACAAAAATTTTGAGGAAGAGATCGACTTGCGGACTGGAGTAGCCAGTGGCATCCTGCTTGAGCCAGCCGGAATTATTACAAGTAAAGCAGAGCTGAGTCTGAAGACTAAGCTCTCAGCATTGAATTTGACCTTTATCCCTTTGCTTACCTAAGGTCATGAGTCGTGGACCATGGCTAAAAATCTTCGATATGGAGATAAGCGGCTGGAATGAGCTGAGACAAATCGCTAATCCTACTCGTGTCGACTTTGTCCGTTGTAGAGAAATCCGTGAGAGCATTTGTGAACAGTCGCTGCTTTTTCAGATTAAGAAGCTACAGCTGCAGTGACCTGGGCACGAGTTGCGAAGGTCTCCACAAAGAAAGGTGAAGCGATTACTAGATGCCGAACTGACAGGCGGATGACCCTGGGGGACGGACAAGACTAACCTTTGGCAAGTGTACTGAGAAATTTTGCTCTACACTTCAGGTATTTTTTGCCGAAGCGCAAACACTGGCGCAGAACTGGAAACGTTAGAAACACTGCCTGCAATTACTGCTTCCGCAACCTGAAAGGTAAAGCAGTCATGGAAAATTAATGAATGGGTGAATAATAGTCGAATATATCTGTGAAAGAGGCTTCCAACAATTAATTTAATGAGCCTTACCTGTAAATGAAATGACATAGAACAATCGTTCTAATTTCAAATCACAAATAGTCGCCTCATACTCTATGTTCACCGGAGATGGTTCTTTATCAGATATGAGGCTTCTATGGTATT